CCCGGAGCTCTCCCTGCCCCATTCCCGTCCCCTACCCCATTCCCTGCGCCCCCTGCGCCCCCTGGCAGTGCCCGCGGTGCCGCACGAAGCTCTCCCTGGATCCCAGGTATCCCGAGTGTCCCCTATCCCATTCCCTGCCCCATTCCCGTCCCCTATCCCATTCCCTGCCCCATTCCCGTCCCCTATCCCATTCCCTGTGCCCCCTGCGCCCCCTGGCAGTGCCCGCGGTGCCGCACAAAGCTCTCCCTGCCCCATTCCCGTCCCTACTCCATTCCCTGTGCCCCCTGCCCCACCCCCGTGCCCTGGCAGTGCCCGCGGTGCCGCACGAAGCTGTCCCTGTATCCCGGCTGTTTCCCTGCCCCATTCCCGTCCCCTATCCCGCCCCCTGCCCCACCCCCGTGCCCTGGCAGTGCCCGCGGTGCTGCACGAAGCTCTCCCTGTATCCCGGCTGTTTCCCTGCCCCATTCCCATCCCCTACCCCATTCCCTGCGCCCCCTGCGCCCCCTGGCAGTGCCCGCGGTGCCGCACGAAGCTGTCCCTGGATCCCAGGTATCCCGGCTGTCCCCCATCCCATTCCCTGCCCCATTCCCGTCCCCTACCCCATTCCCTGCGCCCCCTGCCCCACCCCCGTGCCCTGGCAGTGCCCGCGGTGCCGCACGAAGCTGTCCCTGGATCCCAACTGTTTCCCTGCCCCATTCCCGTCCCCTACCCCATTCCCTGCGCCCCCTGCGCCCCCTGGCAGTGCCCGCGGTGCCGCACGAAGCTGTCCCTGTATCCCGGCTGTTTCCCTGCCCCATTCCCATCCCTATCCCATTCCCTGCCCCATTCCCGTCCCTACCCCATTCCCTGTGCCCCCTGTGCCCCCTGGCAGTGCCCGCGGTGCCGCACGAAGCTGTCCCTCCACATGAAGCGGCGCTGGCAGGCGGGGCAGGTGTAGGGCCGCAGCCCCGTGTGGGTCTTCATGTGCTCGGTGAGGTGGTGCTTCATCTTGAAGTGCTTGCGGCACTGGGGGCAGCCGAAGGGCCGCAGGTCCAGGTGCATGTTGACGTGGCGCTCCCGCATGGAGCGGTGGGAAAAGGCCTTCCCGCAGTGGCACAGGTACAGCTTGTGCCCGCCCGGAGCCGCCGCCGGAGGGGCCGGGAAGGGGCGCGGCGGCGGCGGCGGAGGGGCCGGGAAGGGCGGCGCCGGGAATTCCACCGCCCCGGAGGACTGGTGCAGGTCGGCCCGCTCGGCGCTCCCGGCGGCCGGGGCGGCGTCACCGTGGCTCAGCCCGGCTCTTCCCGGCGTCGTCTCCTCGCTTCCCGGGGAAATCCCGGCTCTCCCACGAGTTATTTCCTCGTTTCTCTGGGATATCCCCACTCTCCCGTGAGTTATTTCCTCACTTCCGTGGGATATCCCGACTCTTCCGTGAGTTATTTCCTCATTTCCGCAGGAAATCCCAACTATTCCATGAGTTATTTCCTCGTTTCTCTGGGATATCCCCACTCTCCCGTGAGTTA